AATTGAAAATATCAGATTTAGACATTAAACATGATCCCGTAAGTATAGGATATCTCAGCACGACGCTGCACATACAACCATGACATATCCTCAATGTCCAGGAACAACCATGCGATTGAGAAAATGCGTCAACATAGCGATCTCCGACCTCGGGGTCCGCAATGACGAGGACGAATGAACGCTGTCCACAGCGTTCGGCGGCAAGCTATTCGACCTGAATGACGTTAAGACCACGGACATCTCCAGAAACATGCAGTACACTCTCATCTTCAAAGACGACAACAAATGGGTACTTGTGCCATCTTAAATTGACTGGAATCTCAACATCATGCTTGGCTCAAGTTTTCACTGACAACAAAGATCACTAACGAAAGTAGTGAACAACGGAAAGCTGCTCGTGGCTTACGTCCTGATGCAAAGACGTAGTGTGATCATCAGCGCACTGTCACAAAAAATAGCCCACATGCTATCGAGTAAACCACTGATGCAAAACGTGGGTTTGCAGATGGTGTCGGAATTCGACAGCATGGTAGACATACTGGAAAATCTGCCAGCGAATACCACGCTGGTCATCCAAGTCTACCTCGGCGAACAGCCGTCAGCACATTACGTCATCGAAATCGTGAAAGGGATCAAACTCTGCTGGGCCAAACAACAACAATACCATGTTTGCACCTTTACGTGTGAGTGAACGTGAATGCCTACACCAGTCTGCAGGGAGTCATCACTAAAATTTTCCTACCAAACAACATACATCTCATGGGTTTGAAGTGCACGTCCAAGAAAATATCTGAAAACCAATTGGAAACTATTTCGTAATTTATATATACGATGAACCAGCACCCCACCATGCAGTTTAAAAACAACGTGTACGAGCGAGTGTCACTGGCAGACTTCAAAGAACCCGACTGGTTGATCGAAACCTCACCCTACATATCTTTAAAAATTGGTTACGTCTCCGAAATTGCGAACAATGGAATCTTTCAGTGCAACAGATAATACCATACAAATATTGCGAATACCAGGTCACACTGGCAACATGTTAGCTCAGTCAACTCGAATGCATCTTTAGTAATGTACAACATACCCGATTATCAACTGTATTTTTTCAATTCAAATTATGGTATCAAATTACACACCACACTGGTAATAGAAGTTTATCTTGTAAACTTTCCATCGGAAGATCGGCTACTTTAGAATGGGTTGACAATACGCTGGGATGACAGACACAAGCACTAACGTTGTCGTATCATCATAAGACCGGGATCGACACCTTAACAAGCCTCGATGGGGTTCGTGATTTTACAACAGAGTCCATTGATCCCCTGGATCTAAACTTCATCAGCTTCAAATACATCGATCGAAGACTGACCGAAAACCAATTTAACATTATTTTCTAACTTATATTATATATTTCAAGATGGGATTGTATCCAGCCATGGATGAAGTGGCCCGAACACTCAAAACCGTGGACGGATTTCGTTTGCAACAAATAAGTGAGATCAAACGTAAACTTGAACAAGAACATGACGTGCGACTAGGATTGCATAAAAAATATCATACGACAGTGAATGCCAACAATGGCATAGACACCACTCTCGTAGCAGCCAGCATGGGACTTGGTGCTGCCGGCGTCAGTTTATTATCAACCATCGTAGCCGCACTCGTCGTTCTCCGGTTAGAAATAGCAGCCGGGGTATCAGGGCTATTGGGAATAGCTTTTGAATTCATTTCACGTTGACTGCAACGTAAAGAGCTGAAGCACGACGAGATCAGGTTTCTAGCTGAAGCCAAGCTGAACATGATCAATGATCACATATCAACAGCGCTTGCCGACAGCAAGATCACGGAGGAAGAGTTCCGTCTGGTGTTAGCAGAACTCGCAAAATACCACAGAATGAAACAAGAGATTCGAACCAAGGTCCACAAGACGATGACATCGACAAACAGGAGAAAAAAAAGCTCATAGAACAAGGCAGACAACAAGCCTGGCAAGCATTCCTTTCCAAAACCAAAGAGATCATAGGGGATTCGCAATAAACTGTTTCGCCGAGATCAACATAACATTGCCAAACTAGCAGTCAGCTTGCTACCTCTATTTTTACATCCCTGTGAACTCTGACCTCTCGCTCGCAGGATAGATCAGGAAAATCAATGCTTCACATTATAGGAGCTCAGTTCGCTTAACTGCTGGGACAGCTTGCTTTCGTGCAGCCACGCAACTGTGCGATTGTGAGTTCGTATCCCGTCTGGCCTCTGAAGATTTCCCGAAACGCTAGTAAGGTTATCGAGAATGGGGCAGCTCTCGTCGAGAGCGAGCAGTTGGATGCAATCCCACGAGGGAGGAAGCTTGTGCATCGCAATCTATCTATCTATTTCTTTCTCCCTTGTTAGGGTTGTGACCATAGCGGAAATTTTGCTGTTTTTATCAATGATGATTATGCATATCAATGATCGTCTCAGTCGATCACACTCATTTATTTCATCATTGATGGAGCCTTTATTAAACATAATTAAAGCTTTGGGGGGAATTGATATCGGACTATCATTCCCTATACTTCTGGTCTGAATGACCCCATTCTCACTCAAAAGTGAATATTTCCGAAACTTTTCGACCGATTTTTGTGAAATTTTGCATGGACGACCTAATTTTACACTCCCGCAGGGGCTGGAGTTTGACAAAATAACGTTTATAGGGACATGTCACTGAACCGCCTTTCACCGGAACGACCCCATGCTCACTAAAAAGTGAATATTACCAAAACTATTTATTACCAAATGATGGCCCACCATCATTCACACCTACTTTTTCACTCCCGCAGGGGCCAGAGTTGACCAAAATAATGCTTATAGGGGACCTGTCAAAGAACTGTCATTCCCTATACTACTGGAAGATCAATATCAAAATTCCAGGAAATGTCTGGAAAGACATGTAGTGGATTTTTCACTGTACATTGACTTTGTATGAAAAAAAAAAGAAATAAAAAAGAAGAAGAATGAATTCCACAGCTATTTTAAGCATGCCAAGGTTGTTGGACAGAATCTGAAATTTGAGGCTGATTTTGTTGATTGCGATGTACTGCCGGACAGTAAAGTGATGGGAGTAAACCAGGTGAAGTTATTCACCAAGTCTGCCCAGAGTCGGTGATTTCAGGAGAAGCTTTCTGAGAAACCATTCTGTGAAATGTTGACTTTGCAATGAATTTACAGACACAGTCCAACACCTTGTCAGTGGATGCCCTTCCTTGGCACAAACAGCTTATCTCTGAAGACATGATGGCATGGCTCGCTGCTTCTACTATTGTCTTCGCCATGCCTGTAGCTTTGACTCCGAGGTCCATCCATGGTATGACCCTGAACATGTCCAGGGCGTCATGGAAAATGAGGCTTTTAAACTTCTTTGGAATAGGCCCATATACAGCCTTAGAAGAATTCCTGCCAATCTTGTCCTTTTCGATAAAGCCAATGAAATTATTTATATCATTGAATTTTCTGTACCTTTTGACATCAGCGGGATTGGCAAGATTCAGGAAAAACATGCTAAGTATGTGGACCTCGCCTTTGAAATGTCCTCCTTGCATCCCAAGTACTCTGTCGTCAGACACCCCATTGTTCTCGGTGCCCTTGGTTTGGTACCTCCTGATCTCTTGGCGCAGATCAGGAGAGTGCCTGGGTTCTCCACCGGGAGCACAGCCCTTCTGACTGACACTATGGGTAATGCAGAAGGCTGCAGTGTTGGGGAGTCTACATATTCTCCAGAAAGTTCTTGGTGGGTTCGACTAGACAGTGTTTCCTGGGAGAAGTCCCATTCGCCTTACCAGCCTGACTGTGCCAGGATCACACGAACCCTCTCTGCTGCATTTTCATCTTGATCTGTGAATCATAATAATAGCAAACTTGTACAGCACATATATCCATATTTAAGCATGCTCAAAGCGCACAAAATGATATGCAGTGAAGGCAAAGAGCTATAGTTGAAAGGCTATCTTGAACATACGTGTTTTTAGAATGGATCTAAAGGTTTGAAAGTCACAAAAGTCTCTGAGGCTCTGCAAGAGGCTGTTCCAGACCATTGATCCTGCATGGACAAAGGACCTGTTTCCATACTGCACTGTCTTGACTTCAGGAACAATAAGCAGGTTCTTATCCTGTGAGCGAAATATCGGGAAGGCGTGTACGCTGTTAGAAGATTGGATAGATAAGAAGGTGCAGTTCCAGTGAGACAGCGGAAAACAAAACATAAGAGTTTAAACTTGATCCAGAAATCGACTGGAAGTCAGTGGAGAGTGTACAGTATAGGAGTAATGTGTTCAAATTTTCCAGAGCAAGTCTGCACTCTCTGCAGCTTGGCTATGTGGGTGTTTGATGCACTGGCAATAATCAAATTTACTCATTACCAGTGATGAGGTTAAATAGGTTAAGAAAAAATGATCCCATTAAACAGTCCTTCAGTAGGTGATTACCACATAATCAAATAATCAATCTACATTCTGTTATGGATTTCCAGATTTCCAAACGAAAAGAGAACAAGCTCATGTTTTGTCAGAGATTTGTGTATTTGGTCACCACCTCTGCTGATGTTGATACATGAAATGTCATGTTTCATGCCTTTGTCCACTGTTTTGATTTTAAACATAAGCCATTAGACTACTTGAACTGCCATATTTCATGCACTCAAGCCAAACTGACATAATGAAGACATCATGTGGACAGGTTATGAGATGGGATCCAAGAAAGCTGTACAAAGGTCCTGATAAAAGTTCATGCTTGACATTTTTCCTTATGTGATGCATGCATAAAAAAATCATATGAAGAGTTTCTTTTGGAGCATAGTATAGATATATAAAGGTAAAGCATATGGCAGAGTTAGCTGAAATAAACCTCTGGTATAAGAACTAAGCAAAGCAAAACAAAATAAATTCATGTCACAATTATGTCACTTTCATAACACATCAGTAACTATTTGTAACCTTATTGAAAAAGGTTATAAAGCACCTCACCTTGTTTCTCCTTCTTTGTAAAAAATAAGGCTGTCATTTCAAATCTCTTGACTTTGGTGAGACTCACAAGATATTCTTCAAAATTTTCACCTGCACTGAAAAGAAAATTGACATTTGAATGAATCAAACTTTCCACATTTATAACTGTTACAGCCAAAAATCTGAATATTACAGTTGTCCATCCAGTGGAATTACCATAATTGTATTCTAACTGTTAACTTGAAAGGTATTTGCATTAAAAGAAAAAACAGAAGCCACAAATGCCCACATTTTTGCTGAAAGTGATGTCTAACAGCATTTACAAGTAGTAAAATATTTTGGCAATGATGGAATTGAACAAGAGTCATCAGAAGATGACATATCCCCCTGGCCCCCACATATTTGAAAGAACAAACTATCTGACGGTTAACGAATACCTATCAGTTTTAGAGATGTGGTCCAAACAAACACACCACAATGAATGATCAAACCTGTTGACATGGAAACAGGAAACTAATTCATTATCATAAAAATCCTACATAGCAAAAAGCACAACTTTAGGATCTGTTTTGTTGAAAAATATTATGCGGTTTTTGAGTTGTGCTCAGGAAACGAAAGCAATCCCTACTTTTTGAGACTAAGTCCAAAATGTTTCCATGGAAACCAAGAAACATAAAAATGCCATAAATCTGTAAATAGCAAAAGGCACCACTTTAGCTTATGTTTGATATATCTACTAAGTCTTGAAGAAAAATATTGAACGGTTTTCGGGTTGTGTTCCGGAAACGAAGGTCACCCCTTCCTTTTGAGATTAAGTTCAACTCGTTCCATGGAAACCAAGAAAAATAAAAAAGACAAAAATCTGCAAACACCACTTAAGGTTCTGTTAGATATATCTACCAAGTTTTGTTGAAAAATATTGACGAAACCAATCTCTCCTTTTTGAGACCAAGTCTGAAGCGTTTCCATGGAAACCGGGAAAAATAAAAATGCCCAAAATCGGCAAATAGCAAAAGGCACCACTTAAGGTTCTGTTGAATATATCTACCAAGTCTTGTTGAAAAATATTGAACGTTTTTTGAGTTATGCTCCGGAAATGAAATGTGAGGCAGATCTTGAACTCAGTGCTTTTGCTATTTGCAGATTTTTGTCATTATGTTTTTCATGATTTCCATGGAAATGATTTGCACTTAGTCGAAAATCAAGCTGGACTTTAAGTAACTGTCAGATGATTTGTTCTATCAAAGATGTGGGGGCCGGGGGGATATGTCATCTTCTGATGACTCTTGTTATTTTTCTCGGTTTCCATGGAAACGTTTTGGACTTAGTCTTAAAGAGGGGTGGGCTTCATTTCCGGAGCATAACTCAAAAACATGCATTACATGCCGGGGAGATAAAATTGACAATAATCTGTAAATAGCAAAAGGCACCACCTTAGGTTATGTTTGACATATCTACCAATTTTTGTTGAAAAATATCGAACGGTCTTTGAGTTATGCTCCGGAAACAAAATGATTTCGGACATACGGACGAGGCGACGACTATATCCCCCTGCATTACATGCTGGGGGGATAAAAACTGTTTGATAATTATTATTTGTGGGACACTAAGGCTACAGTTGGCATTAACCAAATTAATCATAGGAAAATTTGTTGGTAAGAATGGTAATTGTTTTGTTAAAACATTACCTTGTTGCTAACTTGCTGAGTTCTTGTGGTTTTGCCACATACCAGTTAATCCATTTGTTACTACAGCCCGACCTAACGTCTGATAAATCACATCATGATCTTGTAGATTTGTAGTGAAAACAGTTACATTAAACACTTTGAGACAGACTTTTATGTGGAGTTTCTGATGAGAATTTTCAGGAGAATTCACTGAAGTTGTTGAATTTCTTCAACCTAAACGGTGGGACATTAAGAAGGGTGGATGCCCATCAGATGCCATTATTTGAAAATAACCCCTGCAGTTCTTGTCTGATTGTAGTATCCCCGCAGTATAGGCTTTTTCGGATTTTCTAATGTGTTGATGGTATAATGACTGATCCAATTTGATCCTATTTCTGTGTTTTTTTATTTAAACACGTCATGTAAAAATATGATGTCTATTACCTAAGAGATTAAAAACACACATTTTATTTATATGAATCCCAAACTAAACAAGCTTACTTTGCAATTAAAAAAAAATCATAAAATTGACCTTGGGAAATAGTGTTCTAAAGTTAAAAACTGTACATATACCTATGTGGACCAGTGTATTATTCATTTTATTATTTGAGAATCCTTACCTGTCATATCATATTTGTAAAGTTTATTCTAAATCCCATTCCACTTCATAATCACACCTTTTATTAATTTTTCGTTTTGAAATCACTATTCAACTTTGGGTGGCGGAATCCTTCGGTTTTGAATGTAGCGGTCCCACATAACCTTTCTTTAATAGTAAGTATTTAAGCAAATTTAATTATCATTTCAATGTTTGTAAAGCATAGATGGTGTATGATCACTTTGTCCTCTTTCTCATGGTTGTTGATTGTATTTGATAGTTTAGCCTATTTGGTATTGTAAAGTGACGGTAGTGTTGACCTTCACAGACACGCCCAATGTAAGGGTTTTGATGCAGGGTCAGTTGGTTATTATGGCACAAATAATGAGCAAGTCAAGCGATATTGCATTGAAGGAAGCTGTAATAGATCAGTACAAATTATCTAGACTGTGTAGACCTTGATAATGACAGATTCTCCTGCTGTGTAGCCGGTAAATGAAGCGCACAGTATTGTAGGTCAGGGGTCATGAGGCAATTTTGCGCCATTGAAGATTTTGATGTTTGAAGTAATAACAAGCATTATTGTGACTGGATATTCATGTAATTTAAAAGTACATAGTTCTTTTCACAAAGCCTTCAATAAATAGCATTGCCAATTGTGTATTTTGGAAGTTATTAGCCACAACTTTCATGAAGTGTGACGACCCCAGAGTCCAAAGGTCAAATGTCTACATTGGTTATAGCTGTATGCTGCTTAAATACTGTCAGCTTATCTAACCTGGTTGTATTCTTGTTTGTGCCATATAACATCATGCTATTGTATTCTATAACTATTATTATTATGAAGGTAATTAATAGTTACAATGGTGATTATGTCAATTTTTGCAATACAAGTGCAGTAAAATGATAGGCTAAATATGACTAGGAATTACATTTTCTTGAGTGTTTGGTGCCATAGTGGTGAATATATTTGAGTGTTTGTTATTGGAACTTTTACAATTATCACAGTGGTGATGAATTGCAGTAATTATTGCAATAAAGGTGCAGCAGTAGTGGGATAGGATAAATATTGATGAATTGAATATTTTCCTAGTGTTTATTACAACAACTTTCTCTGTTGTTAGTTATTGTGCAAGTATTTATCTCAATTTTGTTGTGTTGCAGGGCGAGTACTGTAAGCAGTCTAATGAACTGCAGCCCTTTTCCCCATACCTATTAAAATCTGAGAGAACTCAAATTCGTGTTCTGGCCTTTATTGGACCTGTCTACAACAGCAAATGCTTATATGTATTTCTTATGCAATAATGAAGTTTCCTTTGTATCCTCAAAACAGTGTGACCCATAAAGATCCAGGGTAGACTACCGGTAGGTCTTCAGCAACCCATGCTTGCCACAAAGGCTTGTCGTAAGAGGCGACTAACGGGATCGGGTGGTCAGGCTCGCTGACTTGGTTGACACATGTCATCGGTTCCCAATTGTGCAGATCAATGCTCATGCTGTTGATCACTGGATCGTCTGGTCCAGACTCGATTATTTACAGACCACCGCCATATAGCTGTAATATTGCTGAGTGTGGCGTAAAACTAAAACAGTGTCTACCCATAAGTGTTTTTAGGCAATTAAAATTGCATGCAATACAGTGATTCTACTCCTCAGCGTGTATCAGTCCCAAATTAACGAATATATACAATTCCTTTTTCGCAGTTTCGGTAATCTATAATTTGAGATTTTTGCAGAATCGGGCCGACGACGCTGTAACCCTTGTTTGGTGGTATAAACCTACACTTGTACATTTATCATTCAGTTAATTTATAACAGGTATAATTAGTGGTAACACCACTTAGATTACCCGACAAAGGTTCCCATTTAGCATTTCTAGTGTCTGGAGTAAATACTCATTATTATGAAGCAAGGCAAATGTTTTACATGTTATGTAATATGCGCACGGAAGTGCAGCAAGAGGAATTATATTTCAATCAATCACGTCGTAGATCGTGATCACGTGAGAGAACGAGGCGAGCCCAGGAGCCATTACGAATCGAGACCCTAAGGAGTTATACACGCTAATTAAGCTCTGACAATTCGGCGCTTGATTACTGGTGTTTTGCTCAATTGGTACAATTATCAATTGAGGCCACTTCAATTTGACACAATTGTCACTTGAGTGGGTATCATCTAGACTGCCGGCCATCAGCGAAGACATACCCGGCCGAAAACGTTTCTTGCCAGCGAGTCAGGACGAGAGCAGCCATTTTGTAAAATGGCGACCAACATGCTGCAATCAGCTGGTCCATCCCCATCACACTGTGAGCCTGTGAGTGAGCTCGACGGACAGATCGGTGACCAGAACATGCCTGGCAGGATAACGGGTATGTTTGACACTAGCGCTTCACACCCTGAGGCCGAGTTGACCATCCCTACAGGGGACATGGCAGGGACAGAGCATGTCAAGATGCTGTCCGCCGTTATGGCACAGAACTTAAAAACTCAACAATTAATTGAAGGAATGGCATCATCCTTCTCCATGTTTGGAGACAGAGTTGCGAGTTACATTGGCAACGATAGCAAGGCTGGTCACAGACAGGGCGTGAAAAGGAAAGGTGGCGAGCATAGGTCAGATTATGCAACTCCCAGCACCAGTGCTGAGACCCCTGGCTCCGAGAGTGAGGCCGACATGGACGAGTTGTTCAGTGACTCCGCTCCCAATGCACAGAGTGTGTATTCACCACCTCCAGATAAACCGTCAGAGTGTCAGGATGATCATGATTTTGTGTATTGTGCAATTCAGGACAAAGACTGTGAAGGTGAGGAGGATTTCTTCGAGTCTCTGATTGACGATTTCACATCAGACGACAGTGTTGGTGCTCCAATTCACGCCAAGTTGGCAGGGGCAATGAACAAAATGATGTTCAAAACAATGCCTGAGGAGAAGTTCAAGGATAAGAGCCAGGAATATGTAAGGCCTAAGAACTGTGAGAAGCTTCAGCCCACTCGGGTGAATGCTGAAATATGGACTAAGCTGCGGGGACAGTCCCGATCCAATGACATTAAACTGCAGAAGTTGCAGACTGGCATTATAAAGGCCACAGTACCAGCGTTGCAAGTGGCAAATACTCTCCTTAAAGTTAAACAAGGAGAAATCTCTTTGGCGAAGCTTGATGTGAGCAGTCTTGCCAAAAGACGACAGACTGCATTTCTTTTCTGGCACATGTGAACACTGAACTGAACCTCAGACGACGCGGAGCTCCTCCGTCCATCTCTGAACACACAATACCAGCAGCTGTGTTCGCCACAAGCACCAATGTCAACCCTGCTATTTGGAGACGACCTGGCTGAGACAATGAAAACCTTGACCATCACTAACAAGGTCAGCAACCAACTCGCTTCTGGTGGTTACCATGGCCACAGGTCAGACCGCCTGTAACCCAGGGAAGCAGGGGACAGCCCGCCTCTCGCAGATATACTGGTCCTGGCTACGGTCGTGGCAAAGGTTTTTAAGTGAGAGGTCAGCCGAACTTCAAGAAGAGGAAGTTCGGGATGGACAGGAAATACTGAGCGCATCTACAGGAGACTCAGAGGTAAGCTGTCATAGTGATGCTACTCTTGCTGGTAGACTTCGATTTCATGTTAATGAGTGGGAGAAACTTACATCTGACCCCTTTGTCCTACAAACTGTGCAAGGTTGCCTTATTGAATTTGACACTATACCCTGTCAAAGTCGTGTTCCAAACCCTATTCAGTTTAACACTCAGGAATGTGCTATCATTGACGTAGAGCTCGAGAAGCTCCTAGCTAAGGGTGTTGTATCTGAGTCGGTCCATGAAGAGGGTGAATATGTGTCTAACATTTTCCTCCGGCGCAAGAAAGATAACACTTTTCGGGTTATTTTAAACTTGAGAAAGCTTAATGACAATGTGGAATACGTCCACTTTAAAATGGACACTCTGTCTGTGGCTATTTCGTTAGTCAGACGAGGTTGCTACATGGCTTCCATAGACCTTAAAGACGCTTACTACACTGTGCCAGTTCACTCAACGCATCAGAGATATCTGAAATTCTTTTGGAAAGGAACTTTGTACAAGTTTGCTGCTATGCCGAACAGACTCAGTTGTGCGCCGAGGTACTTCACTAAATTGTTGAGGGTGCCCTACTTGGTTCTCCGATCACGTGGTCACACCAATGTCGGGTATATTGACGATTCCTTTATTGCTGGAGATGATTTACAGGAATGTAGTACTTTTGTGGAGGAAACCGCTTAACTCTTTACCAAGTTAGGTTTTGTGTTACACCCAACAAAATCAGTCATGGTACCTCAACAGGAACTAACGTTTCTCGGTTTTGTTATAAATTCAGTAGCAATGACTGTGTCACTCACATCGCTTAAAGCCGACCCGGATTAAAACGGCATGTGGGACTCTCTTGAAGAAACGGCGTGTTTCTATAAGGGAACTTGCTGAAGTTGTGGGATATATGGTTGCTAGTTTCCCGGTGTGAAAGCAGGACCTCTGTATTACTGTTGCCTTGACAACGGCAAGTCACGATGCCTTCGCGAGCTGCGTCTGGCAATTTTGACAGTGTATTCGAGCTAACTTCTGAGCACATGGTCGACTTGACCTGGTGGGTGACCAATATCCACGCCCGCTAACAAGCCTATTGTGGTTAGCCTCCGGTTCTCACACTCACGCCTGATGCTTCGGCTACTGGGTGGGGGCAGCTTGTCTCGGTCACTCGACCCGGAGGGCGCTGGTCACGTGATGAAGCATTACGGCACATCAATTATCTTGAACTATTAGCAGCTTTCCTGGTGATCCGAACTTTTTGCTCATTGAAGTGTGACTGTCATGTGAAAATTCTAGTGGATAACACCAACCGCAGTAGCCTATCTGAATAACATGGGCGGTAAGATACCTGAACTGAATTCTCTCGCAAGGGAGATATGGGAATGGTGCTTGGACAAACGGTTATGGTTAAGTGCAGCACATGTTCCTGGGACAGACAATGTTGTAGCAGATAGGGAATCTAGGGTGATGAAAGATAACACTGAATGGTACCTTGTGTCAGATGTTTTCTGTAGAATATGTCAGAGACTTGGTTCTCCAGACATTGACTTATTTGCATCACGGCTTAACTATCAGATTCCACAGTATGTGTCGTGGAAACCTGACCCCAATGCATGTGCTATTGATGCATTCAGTTTTTCATGGTCGTCTAAGCTGTTCTATGCTTTCCCACCTTTCAGTGTTCTGAATCTGGTTATCAAGAAGGTGGAGGAAGACCAAGCTTGCGGCATCTTGATTGCCCCCGTGTGGCCGACACAACCCTGGTTCTCCAGACTGCTGAGACTGCTGACCCAACTGCCGCTCCTCCTACCCCCAGTCACTCAGATCCTCCGCCTGCCTCACAACGAGGACTCGAGACATCCGCTCAACAAGATGAAGATTGCAGCATATCGCTTGTCCGGCAATCTCTCTCACGGAAAAGCATTTCGGAGAGAACTACCAACATCATTCTCCAGTCAGAGTCTTGGAGGAAATCCACGAGATCCCAGTACTCAACCTACATCAAAAGGTGGATTAACTTTTGTGTTAAAAGGGAAACAGATCAACTGTGTCCCACTGTGGTAGATGTGCTAGACTTTCTCACGGAATTGTACCATGAACACAACCTTGGCTATAGCGCACTGAATACAGCCAGGTCGGCACTGTCTACTATGCTCACTCTAGACAATGGATCTATTGGCTCACATCCGCTAATAATCAGATTCATGAAAGGTGTGTTTGAGTCTCGTCCCGCATTGCCTAGGAACTCTGTGACATGGGATACGAGTGTGGTGTTGCAATATCTTAGAACGCTTTCTCCAGTACATGACTTATCGTTGAAAGATTTGACATTGAAACTTGTGGCACTTATTTCTTTGTTGTCAGGACAAAGAAGCCAAACTTTACATAGTTTAGATATTAGAAACATTACCGTTACT